TGGTGTCATCGTAGCTCACTGCAGCCTCAAACTCCTGGGTTCAAGTGATCCTCCTGCCTCAGCTTCCTGAGTAGCTAGGACTACAGGTATGTACCACCAGCCCGGCTCATTCATCTATTTTTGTAGAGATGGGGTCTTGCTGTGTTGCCCAGGCTGGTCTCCAACTCCTGGACTCAAACGATCTTCCCTCCTTGGCCTCCCAAAGCACTGGAATTACAGGCATGAACCACTGGGCTGGCCTCAGCTTTTATTTCAGAAAAAATTCACTGCATCTCTTCATAGCACATGGCACCCCTGAGCATGATTGAGGCAAATGATCATTATATGATCTCCCTAAAGTCGGGAGCAGACAGAGACTACGTGCTATCACAAAGTTGGGCTTGGTGCATGAGATGCCAGTGCCCATCCTGAGTGGGGAATCTGGTGCCTGGAACCTGTGCTGTCTCGGCCGAGCTGTGCCCGTCACACTGGCCACCGACACGGTCATCACGAGTCCCACCCACTGCACCCACAGCCCTTCCCTGCGGCATAAGCGACGTGGGCAAAGACTTCTTCCCAAGTCCTAACCCCCAGAGGAAGATTCCTGGCAGGGCGAGGATCCATCACATGTGTTTTAAAAAATGAGCATCCTCGGTAGGAAAAAACCTTTCTCCTTCCAAATGATGGATGACAGAGAAGTAAGCGTGGAGACCAAAAGACAGCCAATTCATCAAATACCTGCACCAGCAAACCGAGGCATGTCTATGCGGCACGCAGAGGAGACAATGCGGTGCTGTGGCCTGTCACAGCCGCTGTGGCTGCAGCGTGACATCTCAGCGTGACAGGTTTAGCAAAGGAAAATAATAGTGCTGCTCTCGAGAAACCCGCAGGGGCTGACTTCCTTTCCGTTACGGTTGGCGGGAAGGGTGAGGAGCGCTGCGCGGTCCCCATCAGGGAGCTGCCTATGGGTCGGGGACTGCTCCCGGCCTTGCTCATACGTCTGCAGACACGGGTGACAATGGGGAGACCAGGCACGGGGGAGCTGTGGGCGGGAGAAGGAGTCTGAGACTGAGACCAGAAATTTCCCTCTTTTAATGCCAGCTCCATCCTGTGCCATCAACACCAAAGCAGGACACGGAACACCCACGGGGATCTTCACTAGCCCTCACTCGGGCACTCCTGGACACCCCTGTTCTCAATGACCGCCTCATTCCAGGAACTCCTGCAGCCGGGCACAAGCCGCCCTGCACACTGGGCCACCAGCCCTGAGTTCCTCATGATCAGTGTCAACAACCAGCCTTCCTCGAGTCCCTTCTCCACTCCAGGTGCTATGCTAGGTGCTAATGATATAAACATGACAAAGATTCGACGCCCCTCATCAGAATACTAACAATCTATGTGGCGAGACAGGATGATTCATGAGCAGATCGATCTACTGAGGATAATAAAGTCAAGGCTGATGGTTCTCCAAAACACAGCTGTGTTATGCACTAAATTACATCCAGGATTTGGCCTGTCGCCCATAGCCAATGATATAGCATATCCTATAGGATACAAATGAGATGTCCCAAAGTGCATTCATTCTCTGCTTGGGGCTTTCAGAGCTACGGAAGGTGCCAAAGAAAACCGAAGCCCAAGCTGCCACCTTCAAGTCTGAGAGTCATGAAATTGACCGGCGACTAGTCTCTAGTGGTGATCAGGAAACCATCAAGCCTGCACTCATCACATTTATACTCAACATAGAGGTAAAGAAATATGGTATGGGTTTGCTCAATTCTACCCTTGAACCCTGGCAAACACTGCAGAGTAGACTGGAATTAAAAGGGTTTGGATGCACCATTGTTCAAGTCACGCCCAGATGGATGTGCCAACGTCCCCAACCCAGACCAAGGCCAAGCTCCACGTGTGCATATGCTTTTCAGTGGATACCTCCAAGGGGTCTCAAGCTTAATGTGCCCAAAACTAAATTCCCGATCCTACCCACCCACCCACTAAACCTGTTCTTCTACCACGACCCTTTCTTTTTTCTAATCACCTACATGGTCACTTAAGCCAAAAACGTGGACTTAAACTTGAAGGCTCCCTCTCCTTTGTGCCCCACATCCAAAACACGTCTCAGCTCTCTCCACCTCTCTCCCCCCTCGCTGCCTCTCCCGGGGAGGCAACTCCCGTCGCTCCTCCAACCAGCGGTCCAGCCAGCCTCCGCCTTCCACACTTGCCCCTCCAATGCCTTCTCGCAGAGTGGCCAGAACAGTGCCCTCACGTAAGTCAGGTGGGGTCACACCTCTGTTTAAAACCCTTTTTTCGCTTCCCATTTTCCTTTGGTTAAAATCCAAACTTTCTACCAAGTCTCCTTTTGCTGCAGCACTAGCCTACTTCTTGAGTGTCACATTCTGATAACCTGTCTTGATGCCAGCTCTAACCACACGGCCTTCCTTCCAACACCTTCCTACCATGGGCCACAGCGGACGTGGTCAGTTGCCTACTGCCTATCCACTTCCTGCCTTCTTCTTCACTAGCGGAGTTGTGGGTTTACTCAGGGCTTTCCCCTCCTCCACACTGTCACCTGCTTCACTTGGCCAACCATGATGATCCCATTTTCTTTGCCACTTACTAGTTAAGAAAAGACACTAGGAAGCTTGCTCTCCTGTGCTTTCTCTCCACCATGTCAGGACACAGCAAGAAGGCGGCTGTCTGCAAGCCAGGAAAAGAGCCCTCATCAGGAACTGAATCTAGCTGGCTTCTTGATCGTGGACTTTCAGCCTCCATAACTCTGAGAAATAAATGTCTGTTGGATAAACCACCCACTCAATGGCATTTTGTTATAGCAGCCTGTGCTAAGACACCATGGTTTTACATTGCTTATCCCAGTAATTCTGAGAAACACCTGTCAACATGCACCTCTTATTAGTTATAGAGATACCCTACCCCAAGGCGAAGACTTCAGGGAAATAATTATACATACTACCCCAAAAGGAGTCTATAGACAACAGTGCAGACCAGAGTCATTCAGGGTTCAGAGCAGACATAAAGGAACAACAAGAGAGCCAAAAAAGGGGCTATTTTTTTCCCTAGCCCCAGGGAAGATTTCTCTAGATGAAGAGTACCACCTTCAGTGCTTTGCAGGAAGGAAACTGGCCTGCCATTTATTTTATTAAGCCTTTCACAGGCAAGCTGAGCAAAGCAGGACCTCTGGTAATAATTTTAATTGAGGATTTAGAGAGTCGGGGTGAATAACAGGGCCCATGTCCCGTGTCTGCTCACCTGCGAATGCCCGGCTCCCTCAAAATGGTATGCAAAAAAGTGTGTGCATGTGATTTTATTAGGAAAGAGCATCCATAACTTTCATTAGATTCTCAAAATGGTCTGTAACCTACCTGTCCCACAAAAGGATGACACTCCTGCAGAAGATTCACTTTGAAAGTGAAAGCACTATATAAGTGCAATACCTTAGTTTTAGAGCTCAGATGAACCTGCCCTTTACCTATTTCCATAAATGAGAGTCCTATGGGGAAAATACATCAATATGGATGAAATTCTCCTGTGATAACGGCAAAAATCTACAGGAGCTGTCACCTAAATCCACATTCAACTGCAAAAGCTGCCCAGATGAACGTAGGCTGGAGAAAGAGCATTTGCTTCCTGGATAATGAGGCGAATCCGGTACAGGGGGTATGTCTCCAGCATTCTCAGAAGAGAGCAGGAGGCCACAAACTGTCAGAACTTTCTCCAATTACTGTCCCCTGTAGTCTTTCATTGTGTGTTGTGGGGGGGGGTTCTGTCTGCTATACTCGAGAATGTCCCCTTCCTTGGGGATGAGAAGGACAGGAAATTCATTTTCTAGCAATTACAGAAACTAGCTGGCCTATACCCATCCTAAAAGTATGTTTCATAATAAGCATTTGAAAGCATAACTGCAAAGATAAAGTGTAATTTAAAAATATAGTAGACTTAAGCAAAACAAGTAAGAAACAAAACAGACGATCCTGAAATAATTGCAGCAGGGCCTAGAGCTACATTTCCTGGGTTCTGAGGATAAGACGTCTGAGAAGTCGGAAATCCAAAGGCTAAATTTTGATTTGCATTACATTTTTTAAAATTATGACTTTCTGTGGAGAGATACTAATATTTTCATAGTGGTTTGTATCCCCTCGAGAGTCGAGGTTGCACATGAAGAGAGGCTCAATGTCTTCAGCTATTAGGGGAGTGCAAATCAAAAGCACGATGGGACGCCACTTCACACCCAGAAGGATGGCTATTATGAAAAACACGAGAAGTGACAGGTGCTGGTGTAGACGTGGAGAAACCGGAAACCCGTGCTTGCACTGGGAAGGTAAAATGGTGCTGCCACTGTAGGAAAATGTATGGAGGTTCCTCAAAGATTAAACATAGAATTAAATTACCACGTGAACCAGCAATTCCACTTCTAGATACATCCTCGAAAGAATTGAAAGCAGGGATTCAAAAAGACATTCGTGCACCCATGCTCATAGCAGCATTATGGACGATTCCCAAAGGTGAAAACAACCCAAATGTCAATCAACAGACGAACAGCGTGGTGTATCCATACGATGGAATGTTGTCAATCGGCTTTGAAAAGGCAGGACATTCTGACACGTGCCACCACGTGGATAAACTTGAAAACATTACGCTGGGAAATAAACCTGCCACAGAAAGGACAAATATTACACATCATTCCACTTATAGATAAGGTCCCCAGAGTCGTCAAATTATTAGAGACAGGAAATAGAGCGCAGGCTCCCAGGGCAGGGGAGGAGGGTAACGGGAGTTCTTGCCTGAGAGGTGCAGAGTTTCAGTTTGGGATGAAAAGAAAGTTCTGGAAGTGGGTGGCGGTGATGGCTGTGCAACACTGTGAATGTGTAACACTTGATGCCACTGAACTGCACCCTTAAACAACGCTGATGATAAATACATTGTGTGCTGTGCATGTTCTTGCCACAATAAATACGCGGTGGGGGTGGCCACGCTGGCCGAGAAGCGCGGGCGGCGGCAGTACTCACAGGATGTAGGCGATCACCCCGATGGACCAGCAGTCGACCGCTTTGCTGTAGGGCTTCTGCGCGAGGACTTCAGGAGCTGCGGAGAGAAGGGACACGGCCTGACAATTTAAATGCTGGAGACCGTTTTTTAGGGTGTTTTATTTTTTTTTTTTCGTTTTTCTCTGCCATTCATTCAGGCCGAGCTTTCTGTGGGTCTGAAAATTAAGTAGAGAGAGAGTAATGACCCATTTTATTTTAATATTTGTTGGCTTTTTTGATTAGGAAAAAAAGAAGGCTCTGTGTGTGTGTGTGTGTGTGTGTGTGTGTGTGTGTAACTGGAAATTAACAGTCCGATTCAGTCAATCAACAAACACGCACCAGGCGGCTACAGCATGGCAGTGCTGAGCGCTACGGCTCAGACCAGGCTGACACAGACAGGGAATGCTCCGCTTGGGGTCTGGAGTGTGTCCTGTCACCTCAAATCAACTCACAGAAGCATTTGTGGCCTCTTTGTAGGGGAAGCCCGCCCCCTGGCTTCACGGGGCTTAGAGTGCAGTGGAGCTTGCAGCTGAGGTCCTGTTGTTGAGAACCCTGCCTCAGGCCTGCCCTCAGCTCCTTTCTGTGAGGTTTGGGGTGGGCTGTCGCTCAGCACTCATTTCATTCTCTCATCTCATCCGTGAAACAAGAAAAACACTACTTCATCTTGCTTTCTCGGTCCTAAAGCACGACTCCTTAGAGTCAGCCATTCTGGGGGTCTGGGCTCATTTCGAGCTATGCCCACACCCCCTGCTCCTGGCCTCGTGGCTGCCACCAGTGTCGCGACCCAGCCAGCGTCTGGCGACCAGCAGTGACTGACACAGTTAGCACTCAATATATATTTGCACAAAGCGTAATGAAATACGAGAAGAGGCAGCCAATCTCATTCACAAGTAAAATCCCCTTTCCTGCCCCCCCACCCCAAAACCACATCTGATTGAGGTGTCTTTAGCACAGACTTTCCAGAAAAATTAAAAGGGTAAGGAAAATAAAAATAGCTATAGCTGATAAGGTACTCGTCACATGCTGAATTATGTGTCCTGTGAGCTTTGGATGCACCAAAACTCACCCCAACACTCCTTGCGAGGAAGTGCTGTTATCACGATCCTCATTACTCCCAAATTAGGTTGAGGACACAGAGACACTGAGAGGTCAAGCAACTTGGCTGAAGTGGCCCAGCTGGAAAGTGGCTGTCACACCGACTTCCTTTCCAAAGGGACATACCCTCTGGTAAGTGCCTGCCTGAGCTTCATCTTGGGCTAGTCATTCACAAACATTTTCTACTGTGATCATTTCAACAACTCCGACAGTTGTCACAGAGCCTCAGAGAAGTTAAGTAACTTGTCCCGCAACACACAGCGAAACAGGGAAGAGCTGGGATTTGAAACCAGGTCAACTTGACTCTTGCCCATGCTCTTCCTACTAGAACATACTGTTTGTTGTCCAGAAGAAAAAAGTCCTTATGCAGGAAAACTAACAGGGGATTAGTTCACTCATTCTCTCTTTCATTCTGTTGACAATGAATATCTTCTTGAGCAAGAATGGGAGGGTATACAAATCACTGTTGACTGTCTCTGCCTAAGAGAGTGAGAAATTTTTAACACGATCCACAGATAATCCCCCAAAATCTAATTTTAGGTTTCAGTGCCTGATTCCTCCAAACTCCCTATAAGACTTTTTTTAACAAGAGCAAAATAAATAAGTTTTATATATGTCCTTTCTCTGCTATGTTCACCCTCGATGTAGCAGCAGCGGACAGAATTATAAAGCCAGAGAAGGAACTCAGGAATTGGAGCAGCAGCCCTTGGGGAGCTGGGAGCTGGCTCTACTGAAGTTTCCTCCCCCCACACCTGCTAAGGAGTGTATTTCTCGACTCTTCTCTTATGGGAACTGACAAGAGGGAGCCACTTACCACAGTAAATGTCTTTCTGATTTAGGAGGCGTGCTCTCCCTGAGCTGGCGCTCTGGTCTAAGTGGGCAAACAACCGCAGATGGCATCAGAAGTGACACATTTGCAAGGAGACTCAAGTGCCAGCCTTGTGGCCCGACGGACAGTTTACGAGAGGCTCAGAAGGCTCGTGAAGCAGCACCTGGCCAGCTCTCCCGAGCAGATGGCAGGTGCCAGGAGGGCAGAGCCACGCTGGTGGGGTCGAGGCCCTGGGTTCCGGGTCACAGAGCTCTGCAGCACGCCTGGCTCGGCCACATCTCAGAACCAGAAGTCAAATGGGGCAGAGGCCCTGTGAGCTCAGGGTGCAACTTCATGTCCCTGCCAGGTGCCCAAGGGTGACAGATACACAAGAAAGGTCCACTCACCCAAATCCTATAATACTTGAGCATCCTGTGACCACCCCTGTAGCCCACACACCCCTTTACCAAGGCGTGGACCACACTGTCAAAATGCCAGACCCCATGCAGCTGGAGGATGGGACATTGCTCTAGTCTCTGCATGTCCAGTGCTAAGCATGCTCTGGTCGCTCACTACTTGGTCACTCAGCTGAACCTAACCGAGTCACCACACATGCTATCATTTCTATAGGAAAATGTTCTCCAAGTGCCATACAGCTGAGTTACAAATAAACTTAGCTGCCTCAAATGCTTTTGGTAAGTAGGTACAGAAAAAAATAAACTAAGACAAAAGGGGCAATAAATGAATTCTGGAACTGTCATTTGCAAAGTTACCAGTCTTAGGTAAAAGCAGGATCATGTGCTAAATACCTTCCCATAAGCAAATGATTTCTATCAAGCATCTTAGGGAGAAAAGAAGCAGAATTTGCCCTAATTCTCTGTGTGTGGATGTTTTTGTCACTTATGTTATCCTCCTTTTAAAACCTTTTCACAAAGGGGTTTCAAAATTACTTATCAGGTTTAGGGCTAAAAGGCAGAAAAAATATTTTGTTACATGACCTCTCAGAACCTCCTTCCTGATCAGATCTTGGATGCCATTAATTCAGCTTTCTTTGCTATTCCGGATAAAACAGTAGCTCACTGGCTGATTTCATTTACACTAGCAAATAAAAGTCAATTTCCATGTAAACCCCTCGGCCTCAGCTGAGCATCAGGTATCGCCACAGACCCATGTGGCCCTCGTTGGAGCTCAGGCTTAACTCGCGCTGTTTAGAAAATACTAGGTTCAGGGCCGGGCGCGGTGGCTCACGCCTGTAATCCTAGCACTCTGAGAGGCCGAGGCAGGCGGATTGCTCGAGGTCAGGAGTTCGAAACCAGCCTGAGCGAGACCTCGTCTCTACTATAAATAGAAAGAAATTAATTGGCCAACTAATATATATATAAAAACTTAGCCGGGCATGGTGGCGCATGCCTGTAGTCCCAGCTACTTGGGAGGCTGAGGCAGGAGGATCGCTTGAGCCCAGGAGTTTGAGGTTGCTGTGAGCTAGGCTGACACCACGGCACTCACTCTAGCCTGGGCAACAAAGCAAGACCCTGTCTCAAAAAAAAAAAAAAAAAAGAAACTACTAGGTTCAGAATTTAAAATAATTAGATTTACTGTGAGACTCACTACCAAGCCACTTACGGAAAATTCCACTTTGTGGGAAATGCCATCTATAAACCAAGCTATTTTATACCGATTTAGAGAAAGTATTCCTGGTAAAGGGAAACACTCCAGAGATTTAAAAAATTGCAGAAACCTTTTATCTTGTTTTAAAAGCAATTAAACTGCTGATGTTCCTTACTGAAGGAGAGAGAAGAAAAAGGCTTCCCCACGTGGAGACGGGAAGGAAGACAGCGGCTGTCTTGTGCAGGGGCGGGGCGGGTGGAGGGGGCGGGCAGTGATCAGTGATCCCACTCTTACAAAGCAGAAAGAGAATTTCCCTTTCCCTGGGGGCTCAAGGTTGTGCCAAGGAGCAGTTTCTGCAGAGAGGGTGGAGGAAACTGAGAGGGCCTCACGCTGTTACGAAGTTCACGTTCAAGGTGACACGTGCCCCTTTGTGGATGTCTGTTCTACCTCTTGGTCCTTGAAAGGTGACCAGCTCCCATGGTGGGGGACGGAGTCACATCGGGAGGAGGCAGCCCTGATGTCGGAAGATAAAAGCAAGGATGGTCTGGAACCAGCGGGACCTGGGTGGCACTTCTCCCTTTATTCTGTCATTTCATCAGTAGTTACTGAGCTGCCCCCAGGGGCTGGGTCCCTGGCAGGCTTCATGGGGTGGAGAAGGCAGACCTGTCCCCGCCCCGCGGTGCTCCTATTCTCCAAGGTACAGAGTGGTGACACAAACTACAGAAGTGACCAGGCACCAGCGGTGGCTGCCGAAGAGGATGGGGCCAAGACAGGGCAAGATCATCCCAAAATAACAGAGGCGTTTTTGATTTTTCATAAACTTTGAATAAAAGTGAAAATACTGAACTTACTCCAAAAAAACTCTCTGTTACCTCCTATCCAGCATGGACTCGGAGGACGTTACAGACTGGGCTACGTGCAGAATTTATTACCTTTCTGTGCCTCAGTTTCCTGTCTTGAAGGGCGCCCGCCCCTCTGTCCTAGAGTTACAGCTTCATTAAAGAGAAGACTTTGAGCTCCATGGAGCTGCTGCAAGTGGTCCTGCATCTTAAGGAGGTATGTGTGTCCAGGGACAGACACTTGGGTCATAGCCAGCCGTCCTGTCCTCCAGGAACTTCCACCAAGAAGAGGGAGGGAACCCAGCTCCCTGGCAGGTGGACGAGTGGAAACTCTACTAACTCGAATGGCAACAGTTTCAAAGAGTTTGTGATACTATGTGTCGCCTTAAATCCTGAGAGAGAAAGATGACATTTCCACCCAGCAGTGGCCTGTTCAGAGATAGTCAATAAAATTCTAAAGATCGAGGAGAATAAACTTTAGCCTTTGTGTGGTTAGCACCGAAGACACACATCTCAGGGGAGAATTTGGCCTCAGAATCTCGTCACAAGGAGGAGGTGACACTGAATGTGCGTAGTCAGGTCTGCTTCCTGTCCGCAGTGGGATTAAAAAAGAAAAAAAAAAATCAGATGGTTGGGGCTTTCCTGTGAGCACCTAATAAACAAACAGCTGTTGCTTCACCTAGGTTTAGAGAATTGTAATCCGGATTGTTGGCAAATAAAAATACGGCGGAAGTGCAGAACCGTTCCTTGCTAGTGGTTTGTCTTCTACCCAAAGTCTCAGAAGAGTAGGAGGTTCTGGGCTGGCTCTGGTCTCTTGTTGGTGCAGATTATTTTGCTCCTTCTTGTTGGTACAGATTATTTTGCTCCTTCTACTCCTTTACCTAGGGCTGTCATTTACTGAAAAAGCATCACTACAGAGCAATCACTCTGATCGTGCCAGTAGCCTCGGCTGTCACCGCGGGCATGGAGAGCACCATGCTGGTTTATAGTCACCCTCCTGCTCCGAGCTGGGGTTACTGCTCGCATGCCACCAAAGCCAAAGCGCGGCTGGTGGCTGGACTGAGGCTAAGGAACAGAAAGGAGGAGAAGCCGGGGTGGCGGCTGGGGTTGTGAAATGTGGGGGAGACTTGGAATTCAGTGGGACGAAGGAGTCAAACGTCCTGGGGAAGAGGAGGAAGGCGTTTTAGGGCAATGCCGCGACAAACCACGCCCGCTGTGTGGGTCTTACAGGTTTGTGGCCGCAAGGTGATGATGAGTGACACTTCAGAATGAAGAAGACTGCTCCAGTCATTCCAGTGTTTGGGTTTTTAATCATTGCAAAGGGAAAAAGAGCGAGTTAAGAAATGCTGCCCAACTCCCTTCCACAAGAAAATGGTCCCAGTTCAGAAACTGTGAACTCTGTCCCACATCGAGTGTTTAGAGAAGAGTCACAAAGAAATTCCAGAAGGAAGACAAGTGCTTTAAAACTTTAAAAGTGTTAGGAGTGATTTTGTGGGACTATCCACCTGGACTGGGGGATGGGTGTGGTCACCCACGTTCTAATAAGCTTCCTGTCCCCTGTCCACGTTCACCACGTCCAGTCTCCCACTTGGGGGCCCTGACCTCTAGCAAGTGGGGTCTGGCCGTGGCACAGAGGGTGACACGATGTTCGCTGCGGGCTGTCACCGAGTAGCTACTGAGAAAGGAGAGAAAATTCCTATGTGGATCCTCCGCCTACGTGTCTGTCCCTGTGTGACAATTTCTCAGTTATATAAAGTCCTGTTGCAACACTAAGAGGCTGAGAGGATGAGAACGATGACGTAATGCTTACAGTCACGGACCCAAATATGACATTTAAGTGAGAAACAAATAAAAAGCAAGCTCTGCTGGGGGGAGCTGCCACAGCAAGGAGGGGCTGCGAGAGAGATGAAAAGAATCACAATCACTTGGAGGACAGGAGTGGGTGACGTCCATCCACTGAATCTGAATTCTTGTCTGTGCAGAGTAAAGATGGGGAAAAATGGCAGTCAGTATCCCTGACATGTGGACATTTACATACTGAAAGGATGCTAAGTCACAAGTCTGTAGAAACACATAATGCTAGAAAATGCAGAAAAAATCATCGAGGACAGCTAGTCCGGCATGTTTATTTTGCACACAAGAAACTGGGAACCCAGGAGTTTAAGCGAGAGGCTCAGGCCTCCCTCGTGTCTAACCCCCAGCAGAGACATGCAGGGCACTCGCATGCAAGTCCCTTTGCTGGGACTGCGACCAAGCGGAGGCCGGGTAGCTCTGAGGGTGCAGGTTCTTGCCCCCACACCGTACCGGTGGAACCTCTCTGATTTCCAAGAGTTCACCATAATCTCAGGTCCCAGATCAAGTTCTAAAAATGCAGCGGGGTCCCAGAATTAAGAGCCTCCCTTCCTCTAACTGGGTGAAAAAAATATGCCCAGAGTGTTGCCCAACTGTTCTCCATCTCCATTCCGAGAAGAGCAAGCTGAAACATGTTTAGAGTATTTTAGGCAAGTTAAGGCAGAGCTGGACCAAAGACATCTGCCAGGGTGGTCCGGCAAGGCTCCACTTGAGCTCTGGAAGGAGACAGGGATGACTCTTCTTCCATGGCCTCAGTGACAGAGCCGTCACCCCCCACCAAGAACCAAGGTGTAGTTCTACTCATAGACACGACGACGGACCGAGGGAAGTGCTCCTCCTACTTCTGAGTGACACCCCTGATGGCACAGTGTGATCGTGGCTGTGCATGCCAGATGAAACACTGCAAAGTGATGAGTCATCACTCAACAAGGCTCGATGGAAAAAAAAAATTCTCACTTTGCTCAAAAACATCACAAAACAGTGGAAGCCTCCACTCTCTATTTCTAAAGTGAAGTTTAGGATTCCTGAAATCACCCTGCGAGGGAGGGAGCAATGTGCTTGCCCTTCTCTTGGGAGACACTTTGCCACTTGGGTCTATAGACAAAGGCTGGGAATTCTTTCAACATAGTTTAATTTTCTTTCTGAAACCAGGGGAACTACACCCAGAGCATCTGAGCCATCCTATCAGCATGCAAATGGCAACGTTAAGAAATGAAACACATAAACAGGCGTCTATTTGTCAGCTCTTATCCATGACATGATTTATACGAATGCTTTCTGTCACTTACGATCGATATTCAGTGAGTCAAGAGAACCCATTAGGATATTTTAATGAATGCAGCTGAGCAACATAAGCAATTTTACTAACTTTCTTAGCCCTCACTGCTACCTCTCATTAGCAACACCAAGGGGAATGTTATCCTCGGCTCAACTAGATAAATCCCAAATCCCAGTGAATCCAATACTCACAGCCACCATGCCACCCTGCGGAGCTACTTTCCACCAAATAGGCCCATCATTCCTCCTCACTCCCCACCGAGCGCTTACTCACACCAGTCCGCTCTCCAAGCCAGGAGTCTGCTCCCTTTCCCCAGATCCTGCAAGAAGCAACTGTGAACTCCGGCCTCTCTCCCCCTGCTTCTGAACTCTCCTATCTTTGCCTGAGTTCTCCCGTCCCTTCAAATCCCACTTCTCCATGCGTATTGCCCTGGTCATCCCAGCCCCAGATGATCCTCTTGGGCCTGTACTTTAATGCTGCAACACGCTGCCTCGTTCCTTTGTACCGCCCACCTGCCACAGCCTATCGGAGGACCTCGTGGTGTTGACACAGCCAGCCTTGTGAACCACCTGCAACCCACGATGCTCACGGAGAGACGCCCACCCTCGCCCGCTATCAGTGACGTGATGCTCCGTCTCCAAGGGCCACCACTCCTTAGAAAGGATGCTGAAAATCAGCGTAGCTGCTACACGTAAAAGGGTGAAGTTCAAAGTGCTCAGATTCCTGTTGCCTCCTCCTAACGCACCGTGTGCATTGGGATGCTTGGGAAAAACAGCCTTTTTTAAATTTTTCATTGTTTCTTCATTATTAAAGGACTCGTTTAAATTGAAGTAATAACTTGGCACTGGCGGAATTAACTGTTCAGCCGAACAGTCATTTAGATAATAATAAGGCAATGATTCCCAAATTGAAACTAACGCATCTACCCGGATAGAGTATGAACAAAAGCATAAAGTTGTGGATTGCCGTGAGTGCAGTGGACGCTTTTCCTCATTGTATGTTGACACGTTTCTTTCTAAATTCAAAGACAACATGCCAAGTTGGGACCAGACAGCGTCTCTCTGCTCCTGGCTTAAATGCAGGGGACAATGTGGCCCCGGGCTTGGGAGCAGGAAAACCGCCCTCTCCCTTCTCTCTCACAGGTGCCAAAAGACACACAAGAATGACGCTGGTCACTTAACACCTCCTTTCTTTCAGGGTGGTTCGCTTGCTGTTCTCAGGAAGCAAGGCTGTCATAGTCTGCCTGGCAAGAATTCAGCCTTAATCTCCATTTTCCAAAACTCTCTTTCAACCATGTCTTTTTTCTCGCTTTCAGACATACCTCGCTTGCGCCCTCTCCCTGCTTTCAGGGCTTTTGCATAAGCTGGCTACTCCACCTGGAAGGCTGTCCTCTAACTCCCACGTGGCCGGCTTCTTCTTGTCACTAAGGTGAATGCCCAAGTCTCCTCCCTGTCCTCTCAGCCCAGCCCTCAGTCCTCCTTGCCCCGGTTATGCAATAGCATGCCCTCGGTTTTATTTTCTTCGTAGCACTTACGATCTGAAATGAGTCATTTCTCTTTGCTTGTTGTCACTCCAACTGAAACCTAAACTCCATGAGGGCAGGCACCATGTCTGTCTCGTTCCCTGTCTCGACCCCCCGGGCCTAAGACAGCACTGGGGACACAGCGGCAACTATACGTGCGTTTGCGCAACGAATGACACACTGATGTCCACGAAGATCTCAAAACGGTCACAATCGTTCCAATGGCCTTTCTTGAGGTCCCCAGAAGACAGAAGGCCAATCTCAGTACCCAGGTAGGTGTTCAGATCTGTCAGCAGACTTCTCTGCATTTTGAATGTTCAGGACAAAGGACGTGGGTTATGATTTTAGGAAAAATTTTAGTGCTTGGTGTTGCCAGGCCAGACTAGGGTTGACTGATTCATGAGAGTGACTTTGTCAAGGTTTGAACCAGGTTCCTAATATCAGTATTTTCTTCCCGGCTGCCTCTATGTCAGAATTTTGAATGTTTTATTGTATCAGCACCTCATTGCTATCTCAGTGTCTCACTATAAATCACCTGATAACAGAGACATGCAATGTCTCTGGGACTGGAATCTGTGGATTCATCTGAACCAACTCCCAGTCTCCAGCCAGGCCCACCACCAAGTCCAGCGGGATTTCTCCCCAGCTGTTCACAAGTTTTCAGGGGAAATCACTTCCCTGATAACTCGTTCCAGCATCTCTCGGTTTTTTTATTCTTCCCTCCAGGGAAATGAAGGCAGCTGTGATCACATGCCAGGCTCAAAGGCTAAAGGAGACCAATGGAGGCGACACGCAGGGACACACACACACACACACACACACACACACGTGTGCGCTCTGTCCTTACCGACATAGCCTGGGGTTCCGCAGGCTGTGGACATCACATCTCCTTTGCCCTCCATTTTTGACAATCCAAAGTCACTGATCATTATTTTGGATTCTTCATCTTGACTGTAGTACAGTAGATTTTCAGGCTAGAAAGAAAATAATAAAACAAACTTACAAACTCTCTCAAAGCTGGGTTGGTTGTGGGAGACTCACCCAACCACAAGACCTTTCACGACGTGAGGATGCCTTTGACCTTCAGATGCAGAAGCAGCAGTAGTGTCTGGCACGACGAGGCTGCCAATCAAGTTAGTCCCTGTCCTTTATTCGTCTTGTCTACCTTAATGTCCTTTATGACTTGTCTACCTTAAAAAATTAACCACATTTTGAGGCAATCTAGAAAGCTGACGTCACTCAGACATGTTGATTCAGTTCTGGGGTAGGGAAGGGGGACTCCCAGGAAATGCAATCCCTTCTGCAGGTGCATCTCTGTTCCTTTGCGACTCTTCTCTAATCCAAGGGCCCCTGCCCCTCAGCAACGTCCCGTGGTGTCCTGCAGTTTGGGCAGGTGCTGCACTTAGCCCCTTGTGGAGACCAGCCACCCCGGCTCGCTCCCCTCCCTGGGATGTCGGAAGATGTCGCACTTTCTAGCACGCGTCCCTAAGGACTTTGAGCTGCTGTCTGCCTTTCTGTAAAGCTCGGGCTGGGACAGTCTGTGGCGGCGCTCAGACAGCGGTCTTGCCAGCAAAGGTCTTCACTCATGTCCTAGGGCGCCCACCTTCCTGTCTTCACCACCGCCCTGCAACACCTGAGAGGGGCTCAGCGGGGACAGGCCTGGGGCTGACAGGGGAGCCAATGAAGCGTCACGTGCATGGTGTTTTATGTAAGACTGGGGACTCTCATTGTTCCTAGCAGGGAATGGGGGTGGGGCTTATGGAGACTGAGGCGCTACAGCCTCCCGGCTTGTGCCCGCTCCGGTGGCGTGAACTTGAACACAGAGGAGGCATCTGCATCTTTCTGAAGAGTTGCTTCCCTCAGAGATGGAGCTCATGAACTTGTCATTGTGATGATGACTTATCACAGGAGGGGACAACATCAAGGACTGACACCTCGGCTCCTACAATATTCTCTCTCCTCAGGGTTTTATGAAGCAAGGGTGAAGCAATATTCTCTCTCATCAGGGTTTTATGGTGAATCTTTGGTGCCTAAGTATCAAATTTTAGAAACTATTCTTATGTAGAGTGACCAGAATTGTTTAGAAAAGTGGTTCTCAGGCTTCTTTCACTGCAGAACCACCTGCAAGGGTATTAACCGTCCTCCGGCAGGTCTGAGAGGGGCCCAGGCATCTGGGCTTTAGTGACCCGCAGGGGCTCCCTGATGTGCAACCACTGCTGTGAGGAAATTTCTAGAACAGACCAAGACTCCTTGACCAAACTTTAGTCAAGCTCCTCTGAGGCCCCATCTCTCCTAGGCCTCACCCTAGGCTTTGTCTATCCTGCCCTGGCCAGGCCTGTGTGGCCTCATCTTAGCAGGAATCCCGCCAAGCCAGTCTGGAGAGAAGCCTTCACCCTGGATATCTGGTCAGTTCTTCACCCTCCACTCCCCGCATGACGGGATTCTTGCTGCAGGCAGGCCACGGTGATGAGGTATCGAGGACGGAGGATCAGGAATTAGATCAGATATCAAGGGTGGGGGATTTGTGTTAAACTGACTCAGCAGGATTTTTTTTCTTTTTTTTTTTTTTTTTTTTTGAGACAGAGTCTCACTGTGTTGCCTGGGCTAGAGTGCCGTGGCATCAGCCTAGCTCACAGCAACCTCCAACTCCTGGGCTCAAGCGATCCTCCTGCCTCAGCCTCCCAAGTAGCTGGGACTACAGGCACATGCCACCATGCCTGGCTGATTTTTCTCTATATATTTTTAGTTGGCCAATTAATTTCTTTCTATTTTCAGTCGAGAGGGGTCTCGCTCTTGCTCAGGCTGGTTTTGAACTCCTGATCTTGAGCGATCCGCCTGCCTTGGCCTCCCAGAGTGCTAGGATTACAGGCGTGAGCCACTGGGCCCGGCCATGACTCAGCAGGATTTTTGCTAAGACTGGGCCTTTCGGAGCCAGAGAGCGGGCCCTAGTCAGGAAGCAGACTCAAAGGAGCCTGACTCAAGTCTTTCAAAAGAGTCTCTGTCAATGTCCAAGTCCTTGGCCTGCCTTTAGCAAGAATCCCTGACCCCTAATGTCTCAGTGATTTTCTATCCACCAGCCTCCTACCCCCACGTCCTTCCTGGGTTCCAAATCCCCACTTTGCTGCCTTCAGAGTTGAGCTCAGAATCTCCCTTGTATTGCAACAGTCTTGAAGAGAGGCTTCCTTGCCATTTTAACAAGTGTCAAAATAATGCTGTTATTTAACAGAACCCAAAGAAAAAATACTATTTATCACCCAAGATAATAACACAACAAGGGATGGCATTTAACAGTCAAAGCGACACTAATTCTATGGACAAAGCAAGAAATTAGAAGAAAATTGAACATATGCTGAAGGATGCTTTCAATGAGTTTTTAAACGAAGTAAAATGGCCAATCAATAGTGGAAACAGGAATCCCGTAATGCTTAGAAAATCGGGGGAAATGCTCTAAAATCATAAACTGCATGTGGTTCACGTTTTCGCTGAATATTTAGAGATTATCCTTTGATAAACAATAAGGACCCAATCATGAGTGCTAGAGAAGACTTTGTTGTTGTATCTGATTTTTAATCCTTGTCCCAAGACTTCTGCAACTGCAGAGGTAGGTAAAAAGGAATAGAAAGTAAGTGACCTCCTACTGCTAAATGAGGTTTCATTGGTCAAGAGGTTGCTCAAGGGCCAAAACTATCTACACATTCCCCCTATAAGAGATTCATGTGGGTCAATAAAGCAGTCTTTTGAAGAACAATTACCCCCAAGGAGGGTTAAATCAACTGGCCATTCACAGTTTAGATCAATACTTTTTTTTTTGTTTCAGCATATTGTGGGGGTACAAATGTTAAGGTTATGTATATTGCCTATGTAGATCAATATTTTTAATTGGCTCAAGACTAGGTCGAGACAGCAGGGCTTTCCCAGGGGGTGGGATGGCCCGGTGGGAAGGGTCGGGGTAGGGGCTGCAGGGACGATTTTGTCCACACCATATTGCAATTCTTCCTGGGGCCCTAAGAGATTCGGGACTCACTAGAAAAATTATTTTTCTGTATATTATGGCATCTTTGCAAAGATAATTGGTGGCCAATAGCTGGGTTGAAATATCAATCCTAACCCTTTATAATAATCCACCTACCTAGCTTTGAAAAGATTGGAGGCAACATACTTCCAGTATAGTTGATGTTTTACACATAATCACATTCCAAAGCCAGTGATTCTCAAATGGGAACAATTTGCTCTCCAGTGGACATTTGGTGATGTCTAGGGACATTTTCGGTTGTTCCAACTCCAGGATTAGTACTGATCCACACCATGGAGTGCCCAGGACCATCTCCCAGTAAAACGAAGAATTACTCAGACCCAAAGGACAGCAGTGCAGGGGCTGAGAAACCCTACCCTCACCCCAGGTGGCAGCAGTAGGCACTGCCTGTGTTAGTCCCATTATTTAGAAAAAAGAACAATTGATCGTCTCTAGTAGCTTCCAGAAAGAGAAGAAAGTCTATCTGCAGGGGGAGGGGGGACGGTGGGGCAGTGGGGCAGCACCCCAGATTGTGTGCTGATCTTCAATTAACATGACCACACTCTCTATTGCTCTGCCCTAGGTTATACAGGTTGTTTTGATTTTTCTCAGATGTTTATAAAAATGTAATAGTCAAATTTAAACTTCCTCCCCCATAGATCCAACTCCTTTGCGCCTTTGAAAAGAGGTCACAAAAAGGCCCTAAAATGGCCATGTTCTTTCCACAATTACAAGCTTGGTGATCTTAAAGCTCCACAAGATAGGAGCTGCAAGAACTTCTCCAAAAGCACAATATTTCCCATACAGCCCATCTGCCTTTATAAGGGGAAATAAATACTGCTCCTCCTGAGTATGGCTTATCTGCTTAGAAATTACGTTTCTAATAAGTACAGACAGCCTATCACCCACATCTCTGTGGTCACCACACTAACTTGTTGAGAGAGAGCTGCCTGCTGTGTTCGGGAAGGGCAGACTTGGCATTTGCAGGCACGAGAGAGAACAGAGAAGGCCTGCCGTCTGGCACGGAGGGGCAGGTGGGCTGAGCCAGCTCGTCCCCAGCTCTTGGAAGGGTCCCAGGCCCGAATATCAGCTAAGGAGGCTTCCAGCCATGTCACCTGTCCGGAAGCCGGCAAAAGGTGGAGACTGTAAGAACCCCGTTGATGTCCCCAAATACCCTTGTCTAGTGGTTCTCCAAGAGCAGTTCCCAGACCAGCACCCCCACTGCCTGCGGACTCGGTCCGAACACAAGTTCTTAGGCTACACTGGAGACCCACCAAATCAGAGCCCTGGGGTGAGGCCAGCAGTCTCTGTTTCACAAGCCTTCCAGAATGTTCTAACGTGTGCTAACATTTGGGAACCTTCTGTTTCCCTTCTTTCTCCTCTCATGCTGTTGGACTACCGCACCCCTTCTTCTACCCGGTGTATAACACTGAAAGGGGGCTTGAACTGGGAGAAGGCTCCGAAGAACTGCAATAGGAAAAGGGGTTTCTGGGGTCCATGTATCGTGAACAAAACTACCCCTAAGAGGGGCTTGAAGCAATCTACGACCTCCCTCCAGGTGGCCCGCTGGCTACACAATGGTTATAAAATCTCATAAACAATGGCCAGCTACATGGATCTTCATCTTGCTCCAAGCTACCTCTGGTCCCAAAGGCCCTGACGACATTCGCCCCACCCATGTCCACTTCCAAGCAGCCCACTTCTCCCCGGGGACCAGTCCTCGCAGGCGGGCGCACCGCGGCTTGGACGGTGCCTGGAAGACGTTGCTAAGCGATGTCCTCACCTTGAGGTCCCTGTGGACGATGCCCATTCTGTGCAGATAGTACACGGCGTCCAAGACCTGGCGGATGAGAGTGCTGGCGTCTTTCTCTGTGTAAAACCCCTTCTCCACTATCCGGTCGAACAGCTCTCCCCCGGACACGCTGTGCAAAAGAAGAAGAAATCAGAAGTTTGAGAGCACCTGTTGAATTGCACAGGGAAAAACATCAATAAGAGCTTTCAATGTGATAAAAGAGTCAAACTACGTTTCAAAACTGAGTCCGTTTTCTGATTAGATTTTGCCCTACCTGTTCCCTACAAGCTACACCCAGGAAGCGTTTCTATGGCATGACAGTACGCATGCCCAGAAACAAATAAAGAGAATAAAAACAAACCAGGACTCATGGACTAGCCACGCCTGAGAAGTCTCTCCTGGCCTCTGTCTGTGTCCTGCTGTGATGATATAAAATTGAACTAATTTTGCTGATCACCATCGTCAGAGACAGGAAGGGGACACTGGGTGAGATGTCATCTTTGCATGAGCGAAGACTAGCCTTAAATGACAGGGGAGTTTTGTGGGCAAAGCAGTGTCCTGCCAACAGCATGTCTGGGTTCTTGACCAAGTTCTGCTCCTAACGTACTAAGTTCTGAGCACTCCTCGAATCCTCAGACATCAGTCTTTCATCTGTCAAAAGAGGGGATTTCAATAGTTGGGGGGAGCAACTTATCAGTTGCGATGAGCAACTGTGGAACTATCAGAACCTCACGGCCACTTGTGACTTACAAATAAGGGGGGAAAAATGACACACTATCACATTGCTTTGCTTTGGTGACAATATTTCATTTTAATTTGCTTTGAACTCTAGATTGCATTTAACTTTTTTTTGCACTTTCCAGATTGCATTTAACTTTTTTTTGCACTTAACAAACTGGGGACAAAGTTGGCAAGCGCCAAGAAGCCCTGGTGGACAACGTCTACAGTACTTTTCTGCTCTGATAGTTTACACTCCTCTGTGTCTAAAAAATAATGGAACCGTATAACCCACAACAAAAACAACCCAACTAGTGCTCTTTCAAATGATTCAGCCGTCTTGCAAATTAACTTCCAGATATATTAACACTATTGGAAAAAAAAAAGACACATTTTCCAAAACAACATGAAACAGATTTATTTGAAATATTAAAATCATAAAGCAGTTTTAAAAACAACTTTTATAGCTTTAATAGAGTAAGAGGCACTCACAGTAACACAAAAACACACAGAGATATGATCCATTTTCTGCAAGTCATAGCTATTAATGTGCAATAACTGATCCACTGAAATCTTCTTTTAAAAAAACTAATAAAGAAAAAAAAAACCCACAGCAGCCATAAAAGGCCTATGTGTTAGTCTCTTCCGTTACCCTTAGTCATTGCAAGCAATATTGTGCTCGGATAATGTTTCATTTCCAAAGCAAACTGACAATCTGAATAAGAAAGAAAAGGGGCTCTGGAGAAATAAAAAGCAATTCAAAAGAGTGAAAAGAAAGGGAAACGACTGAGAAGAAACTCTATTTTGATGACCATGTTCTCTAAATGGCCCATCCTCAGGTAAGCCAGGATCCCAAGACAGCCCTTCTGCGACCGAGTTCATTTTTCTAGAACTTTCCCTCGAGGAGTTTCAATGCCTGAAACTTTGCAGAGTTGGAGGATGTACTATATGAGATAGACTGCTTCTGGGGGTAAGGTGACACGGGTGCCCGGGAAGCATTCACTTAATTATTTATCGATGCACTCATTCAACATTTATTTACCGGGTGCCCATAATGTGCCAGCAACCAGACCACGCGCAGCGGATGGCAATCGCAGTGGCACTGGCTGTCAAGGAGGGAAAGTCTGTTTTGATTGTGTCCTTCAACCCCACTACCACTACTTTTCAATCAAGGCAGCCCTAACCAGTGTTCCAGTGCTTTCTTACCACTGGTCTGCCTGCTGCCACCTTCTGCTCTTCTTCTGCAGCTGCCAGAGGACCTCAGGCAAGAATGCTCACTCCCTCCACGGTCCCTACCACCTCCTGCCTTTAGTACTCCACAACCCAAACCTTGCCCGACCCTCTGCCTCCCTCAAAGCTGATCTGTCCTGCTTCCCACGCTCTCATTTTTCTCTGTTACGTGATATATAAGGCATGCACAAATTCTACTAAATGAAAATATTTGCACTGCAACAGGGCAGCAATGCAGTGAAGATTGTCACATTAATATCAGAGGATGATATGTATTGTCCCAGGGGCTCAATGCGCTGTACATTTGATATTTTGCTCCTTAAATTTCAAATTGCACCAGGGCTCTATTTTTCTGAACAATGCTCAGAAAGAATTTGGTTTCCTTAGTAACCAAGGCACATGGGGAAAAGTTTAGAAACTTGCCACTAAAGAAATATGACAATACCAATAAAAATATCTTAAATTTGCAAATTGCTTTATACTTTTCTAAAAAAAAAAATCTCCTTAAGCACACACTTAAAAAAACCTACTGCTATGGACTGAATCTTTATGTCTCCTAAAAATCATACATTGAAGACTAAAGCCCCAGTGGGATGGTATTTGGAGGTGGAGGTCTTTGGGAGGTAATTAGGTTTAGATGAGGTCAAGAGAGTGGGGCCCCGGTGATGAGATTAGTGCCCCTATGAGAAGAGGGAGGCCAGAGTTCTGTCTCTGCCATGCGGGGACCCAACAGGAAGGCTGCCGTCTACAAGCCAGGAATGGAGCCCCCACCATAATCTGAGCGTGCCGGCACCCTGATCTCAGACCTCTAGCATCCTGAACTGAGAGAAAATAAATTTCTGCTGTTTAACCCAGACTATGGTATTTTGTTATGGTAGTCTGAGCTAAGATACTTATTTGTGAGGGAGACAGGGCCAGGTCTTCTGTTCCAGAATCACTGCTGGGGAAATGAGTTTGCAATCACGGCGAGGTGCGTGTCTCATTCTCAGGCTGGCCGACATGCTTATGCTGGGTGTCAGGCTGCGGAGCGCAGTGCCACGTTGATTTCTGCACAGCACGCACCAGTCACGCTTAATAGCTTGCCGAGTTTTCTGTGAACGTCTCGCTCTCCTGTCCTGACCCTACCTTGTCCCAGACTGTGAACTCCATGAAGGCAGGGCTCTGTCTGCCTCATTTGCTGCTGTTTACCTAGAGCTACCACGCACAGAGAAAAAGCAAACTAAACATCTGCTGGAAAAGGAAAGATGTTGCCTCATGCCTATAATCTCTTTTAAAAATTTTAAAAATTAGATGGGTGTGGTGGCATGCACCTGTAGCCCTAGCTACTTGGGAGGCTGAGGTGGGAAGATTGTTGGAGCTCAGGAGTTTGAGGCTGCAGTGAGCTATGACTGTGTCACTGCACTCCAGCCTGGGTGACAGAATTGCTCAAAAAAAGAAATGTTGCACAAAATTGCTTGTGAGTGGGGTGTAGATCTAGCCAAACACAGCACTGTTAAGCAGCTATGCAAATCCTCGGAACCTGTGCTAACAAGAGATGCCCTGTGAAGCTCACCTCCGTTAGCAGACTGGCCGCTGAACCAATCCTCCTTCAACCTCCATCTCATTCATTCATTCATTCATTCTTGACTCTCCCAGCCACCTAAACTTGCCACTGGTTTGCATGTTACACTTCTGTCTCACCAATCGTATCTCCCCTTGGCCTCTTCTGCTCTGGGTTATGCTTTTCAGCTTCAAGTGGGCACCCCACACTCGAAAGAATATTCTAGAGCCTCCCCGCCCACCCAGTGAATGGCTGCCCCACCTGGCTGGTCCTGGCTTTGTGTGGGGATCCCGAGCTGTCACGACTTTGTGACTTCCCACTGCTATGAAAGGTCACAGCTAAAAGCATCTAAACGAGAACTCTTCAGCGTATTTTTATCACCATCAATTTCAAAAATCATGCGGAAACCCATTTAGAATGATCCGTCAAAGGGTGAGTTAGCAACACAGAGCAGCCTGTGGGGACAGAGTGATTCCCAGGTGTGGACGACTGGCTGACAAGGACAGAGCCACACCTGTGCCACACAGAGAAGCCACAGCAATCAAAACAGACGAAATCAGTGCGCAGGACAAACGCAGTTAAGCCACGGCAACTTGTCATATTTTGACATGTAACTGTTGTCAAGCCTTCGCTTGCAATCGCACAAATATACGTCATGCACGGAAATGGCTCTGTCGGTTGATGGGCTTTTCCAGAATTAAGATGAGGAAAGAGCCCCAGAACCAGATGTTCCAGGTAAGCATTCACCGTGCCTGGTTCCTTCTCTGCTCAAATGGCTGCAATCTGAGAATAGAACAAAATCTCTACTCGTGGCTGTGGTGTAGGCAGCTTTTAAAACACATTTGCTATGTGTTCTAGTACCCATATTGGGCAACAGCAACTCTTACTGAGAGATTCCACCTTTTTTTCCTTTCTAGCACCCACATGCTATCTTCCACACTTAGCATAGAAGGAAATAAGACACAACGTGGTACTGAATGAGAATACTGCAACATGCTCCAACACAACATCTTCAACAACTTATAAAACCACAGAGTATGTTTACATTATACATCAGCTTTAACGTTAAAAAAAAAATACAAGTGGTTTTTCCCCCCAAAAAATATAAAGGGGAAAACACAACAACCCCCCAAAAAGAAAAACAAACAAGGGAAAAATAACAGCCCGCCAATTGGGGTGGAAATTAAAAACAAAAACCCCCAAGCAAGGAACCGGAAAGTCAAGCCCGGGCAAAAACCGAAAGTCAACACTTACCAATTGCAAACGGCCCCGGCCAAAAAAAAAAGAATTAATAAAAAAAATCCAAAAAAACCCCTTAAATAAAAAAAACCCTTTCCCAAGAACCCCAAGCAAGAATAAAAGAAAAAAAAAAAAAGGCAAAAAAAAAAAAGCCGAAAAAAAAAGAAGAAGGAAAAAAAAGAAAAAAAGCAAAGGGAAGGAAACCAAAAAGAAGGGTTTCAAAAGCCGGCCAATTGGAAAACCCCTTAAACATTTGCCTAGAATGAGAATGGAAACGTACAGCACAGAGAATTCACACTTATCAATGATTCACCTGCTGCTCCAACTCTGCCCTTGGTTTCTGCCAAGCTTTTCTCAAATGCGTGAGTGGACAGATCTGCGATTTGGTAACTTATGTTTATAAT